ACAAGGGGGAGGTGGCCAGATCTAAGGCTTCAGGGTCTTGGGAAAGGTTTTGGATTTTATGTTGACTTGTCATATTTTATGTTGGCTCAGCTATAATGAGTTTAACAACCATTGGAGGGCTTTAAGGGACATACCTGTTTAACTGTTTCAAAATAGATGATTCTGGCAGTTCTAAACAGAATGGATTTTAGGAAGATACCTTAGTCTCTTCAGACTGCAATAACAAAATATCATAGACTGGGTGAGTTATGGCATTCTGGTTGCTGGAAGTCCAAGCTGAAGGTGCAGGCTGGTTTGTTATCTAGTGAGGGCCAATTTCCTGGTTCATAAATAGCGCTTTCTCCCTGTGTTCTCACATTTCAGAAGGGTGAGCCCACCTATCTATAGTCTGTTTTATAAGGGCACTAATTCAGATCTGAGGATCCTGCCTTTATGGTCTAATCACTGGTGATTAGATTCGACATATGAATTTGAGGGGGAGGAGACACAAGCATTCAGGAGGCAAGAGTGGTGTTAAGGACAACAGGTAGAAGGAAGGTCACTGTGGATGTTCAGGTGAGATAGAGTGTTGAGAAATGGATGACATTTCAGAATGACTGATTTAACATATGAGAGGGGTGCTAATAAGCAAATCTAACTGGGCACAGACTGCAAAAAAATAATGAAAAATGGACACATTTAATTTTAGATAGCTATGTGATACTACAAGAATATTTTTTTTAACTTTACTAATATAGTCATTAAGTAGATTTTGAAAGGGAGCTGAAATGGGATAGGATGTTGGCTCAGCTATAAACACTGAAAATTGAGATGTCTGACACTGTGGGATGCAGTTTCCTGAATATTTTTGTTTTGTTTATATTTCAGCTTTAACTCTCTGAACCTCACTTTTCCCAACTGTAAAATAAAGATCATATCCGTGCATTGCCGGGTGGACATAGAGCTTGGCATATAAGAGAACTTTGGCAAAACAATTGCTGTTTTGATATTTCCTGGGGAAATATCCTAAGTATAAACTTTGTTTTCAGTAGTGTGGTTGTTGGCTCTAAACAAAATTATTTCATTTTTCAACCTTATATATTAAGAAAAAAATAATGCCCTCATGCAGTGGCTCACGCCTGTAATCCCAGTACTTTGGAAGGAGGAGACAGGCAGATCACTAGGTCAGGGGTTCGAGAAAAGCCTGGCCAACATGATGAAACCCTATCTCTACTAAAAATGCAAAAATTAGCCGGGTGTGGTGGCAGGTGCCCAGAGAGACTCCATCTCAGGGAAGAAAAAAAAAAACCACACACACACACAGATTATTCTGATGTTTCTTCTTAGTGCTATTCCATGGCCTTTCCAGTTTTTTTATGTCACCTATTTCTCTGATTCTTAAGAAAGTGGTATCCTTTTCTTCCTTTTGCTGGTGAGGAAGCTAATTTCCAAGGAAATTAATTGAGATGGTGAGTGTTACCAGTTAAGCCTTTGTTAAAGGTAAAACTAGCATCTGTATAAAGATATATCTTAGTGATGCATTATCTGTCGTTCATGTTTTATAGCTGGAATCACTAATCAGAGACCTGAATCGTTACTCTTCCATGACTGCTTCAGAGATTTGAGTCTCTCAATTTTGTGTTAGTTACACATGCTTTCTCTTGTTTATTGCCTCTTAGTTTTGAATTGTTGCTTAGTTCCACTGCACCGCGTCAAGGCCTGTTTATCTCTGAAAGCTAATAGCTTCCAGAAAGAGCTAGGAGACAAGATCTGAGCACTGAAAGAGTTGTATATGTCTTCCTACTGTGGATTAGTTGAAAGAAACAACTCATGGGAAAACAAATGAACTTTTTCCAGTATTTTAGTTTTACTTTCCAATATAGTAATTTTTTTCACCACTTTTCATTTATTTATTTATTTAGAGACAGGTCTTACTCTGTCACCCAGGCTGGAGTACAGTGGCACAGTCATAACTCACTGTAGCCTCTAACTCCCAGGCTCCAGTGATCCTCCCACTGCAGCCTCCAGAGTGGCTGGAACTACAGGTGCATGCCACCATGCTCATGTTAATTTTTTTGGGAGACAGGCTTGCTTCATGTTGTCCAGTCTGGTCTCGAACTCCTGGGTTCAAGTGATCCACCTGCCTCAGCCTCCTAAAGTTCTGGGATTATAGGCGTGAGCCACCATGTCTGACCTTTCTTTAGAATTTTAAATCATTTTACCAAATGCCAAAAACACTGTAGTACTGGTAGTATTTAGTCAATTTCTGAGCAATTTTTTTTTAAAAAAGAGAATATTAAAAAAGCTTAATAAAATACTAGTATGTACTGGACATAATATGCTATTCTAGTAATTCTTAATAATTATCTATAAAATGTTAACACTTTTATTCATATTTCCGTATAATCAAAGTGAATGGATACATTTTTCTTTTCTCTCGGGAAAAGTACTAATGAGCCTAGTGCTTTAACACTTGGGAGAAAAAATAGATAAATGCGACCAAACACAAGTCTCTGAGATGATAGTCATTGCCAAGTGTGCACAGATGGGAAACTGGCATCTTTTGAATGTGGAAGGAGAAGTGTATCCCATGTGAGGGGAGCACCATTGTGATTTTGAAAATTATACCATGCAGTCTCTTGTTGGCATCTGCTTAATTTCTAGCAATATCTCATTAACATTTCTTTTATGAGTTTTTTAAAAAACACATCTTGAACTTTTAAACCTTTAAGTAAATAAGAATTCTAAATGTGTGTAATTCTTTCATTAAGGAAGTGAACGCCCAGAAGTGCATACAATTTCTTTAAACACTTTTATACTCTGTTAAAGTTTGTTGTAGGAAATCCTTGTTTAACATTATACATCAAAGATATTCTAAGCTTAATTTCTAAAATATTAAATGCCAAAGAGTATAAAATTCTTAAAAACAACCACTTCCAACTTGTCACCGTATTGTTAACATTGACAGTTTCACATGGAAATTGTCAAATTTCAGTTTTCTTTGACTCTTTAAGTCAAATAGTCAATGTGACTGAACCTTCAATATTTTAATTAAAACAATTTTTAAGTATTTGTCTTTCCTTATCTTTTTTTTTTCCATAGGCCTCATTCTTAGATAATTCTGAAATCACTTCCATTGATACTCACATGTGACTCAAGTTTGAAATATGGAAACAGTTATTGGGGTAGTGTGTGTGTGTGTGTGTGTGTGTGTGTGTGTGTGTACACCTTCTGTGTGCCATAAAATAATCAGGCAAAGCGATTTTAAGATAGTAATCTTTAGCAAAAGCAGTAATTTTATTTTTATTCCTCTAAAGAATTTAGCAGATCTAGACTTGAAAGTTTGCTGACTTAGGTGTTTCTTGTATAGTTCAAGTGAAATTGCAAATAATTTCTGTTCGCTTGAGCAGCATGGCTAAGGAGAGTGTTTTATTTGAAAGAAAGGTGACCATTATGTCTTACAATGTAAATTTTACTTTGATATTTCCTTTTTGGTATTCTTGGCAAAGCCATTTATGGGCTGGTATTCGTCTCCAGTATTGTCCCTCTTTATATTATTTAATTGTGCTTTTCATTTTACTTGAAATTAGAGGCATATAGCTTCCAAAGACAGCTTTATGCTGAATAAATTCATGTCTCCGGAGGTGGCATATGCAGCTTGTCTAAGAGAAAATAAGCAAAGATGGCTTCCATCATAAATAATTCTGACCCAGTTTCTCATATATATAGGTAGAGACCACCACCCAAATTCTACTCATGAAGCCTAAGTACCTGGGTGGTGCAGATGTGGATGAAATGCCAATATAGTTGTATGGGTTTTTAAAATTAATTTTTAATCATACAAGGGACATAGATTTGTTTCTCTTGTTAAAACAGAATATGAAGCCAGTTCTCCTCTGGCTACCACACCGCACTAGGCATACTCATCCTGCATAAAACTAGAGCTACACTGTATGATTACAGTGATTGAATGGCCAAGATCCTAAAAGGAAAATCTGCCTAAATTTTCCTTGTTTAGGAAAATCAGAACTCCTCAAGGTTAAGAAAGAGGAGACCCACAGGGTTACCCACATGATTCTGGCCTGTGGTACTATGAGAGAGTGGTAGAGAGGGAAAGAATGTTCTTGTTCAAGAATACACCGAACTTCAATGAGGTTAAGTTGTACAAACTTAAGTGGGATTTTATATTAGGAGATGTTATCTAACTCAGTATACATGTATATGTATATAGATAGATACATACCTGCATGTATTTATCAAATAATTTTATTAGAACCTAATAAAAAAACTATTTCTAGTTCTTGCTTATATTTTTGTTCATCCACATAATCTATACATTTGATCCCTACCATTTGTGCCTACTACATGGTAGGAATTTTTCAGACATATTTCTAATGTAGTTATCCCTATTTTACTTCTTAAGAAGTTGAGATTCAGAGAAGTAAATAATGAATCCCAATTTGCAGTAGGAGTCAGGGAATGGGATGGGGTTGAATGCTGTTTCTCCTTAGGATCTTTTTTGGCATCACGTTGCCTCAAAGGATCAGCTTCTGGGATGTAGAAATAAAATTGTTTAATGTCTTTGACTTATTAAATGGCATAAAAGTTTTAAATTCTCATTCTAATGTCCTTCTAATTTTCTGAAGATCTGTCCTTGATGACAGAGAAGATACTCTCTAAATGTTTGACCACCAATACTAAGTGAGTTCTGACCAGAGTGGGTTCCACTTGTATGTCTAACAGTGAACGTCAACTCAGGTGGAAGGCCTCATGAAGCCTAATTAATAGCAATATAGACCGGTTTAAACTCTTTTGGCCAGTTAATGTATTTTTTAGAAAGTACCACACATTATTCTTAAAATCTTTGTCTAAATCTGGTGTTAGCCATAGTTACAATATTCTGGTTTCAAGCTCTCAAGTTGTTTTTTGGGCTTGTTTTTATTGAATCATTGAAAAATTAAAGTAAATGAACCTACAGAATATCTTGACTGAGAATATGCCCTGTTTTTCCCTTTTTCTAGGTCTATTATTAGCAGAAGATTTTTCTGCATAGTTGGCACGCTGTACCTGTATCGGTGTATTACAATGTATGTAACTACACTCCCAGTACCCGGTATGCATTTCAACTGTTCTCCGAAGGTAAACTATTCCTTGCTATAATTTCCCTTTCTGTTTGTTTCTCGTCTTGCCCTGGGGTCCTTTGACTGAGGTTGCAGGAAAAAATTTTTCAGAATACAGTTGAGTCCCTCCTCCATCTAAGAATGTTACTAAACGATGTGGCTAAGGGGCCTCACCCTTCCCAGAATCTCTAAGTCCTGCCAGTGCCTCCCAACTGGGGAAATGTATGGTCTAGTTTGTGTGTTGGAAGCAGTTAAGCTTTGTGTGGGGGTGTAGTTCCTTGGTTGCCTTCCAAACTTTTAAAATATCACTCATTTCTTTGACACTCATCCAGAAGCCTTTATATGCTTCCTCTCTCTCTTCGGAGGGAAATCTCAATTTCAAGTGATACTTTTTCCATTTTCCTTCTTTCTATTAATCCCTACAGCAGAGCCAGGAAGAAAAAGTATTCTTATCTCCTTGCAGTCCTCTACCAAGCCAAATAAGATCACTGTTCTCTGGGGTAATATATGGCCTTACTGATTTTCTCTTGTAACATGGAAGTCTTTTTTAAAATGAACTTTATTTCTCTCTTATTATTTCTACCTTTCCATCAGATTCACATGACAGTCTTTATCTCCTAACCTTTACCTTGAAAGAATTTTTAACTAGGGTGATTGTTGGAACTCTATGAAATAATTAGCAGAAGATTTTATTGTTAAGATATTTATGTACATGAAAGCTCTTTAATGCACTTTATAAAAAAAAGGCTAATTTCTCTCCTTGATTTTTGGTGAGAGAAAATATAGCATACTCTGATGTATTTGAGATTTTTTTTTTGCATTTTGCCTGTGTGGGTAAAACAGCCAAACACTTTCAGTCTCATTGATTTGTACTTTCGTTCTTCTGAGAAGAGATGTTTTCTCTGATAGAACCTTTGGAAAGAGAGCTGAAGAATTCGCTCTGGATTTTTAATTTGATCATAAGAAATTTTGGATCTCTTTAATTTGTATGTCCCTTGTGTTCCCCTTCTTTCCTAGACTTACATATGTGCCTACAGAGATAGCTCATTACTTAACTTTTTCCTTTTTTTTTCTTTTGCTACACACTACTTCCTTACCTCCAGAAAAGCTGTCATACAAAAGGAATGTTCTCAACATTCCACTCTTCTCTATCAGCCATCCTGCCTCCCTGCACTTTTTCTTGCAGTTTCTTTCACCTTTTCAAAGAAGCCAGCTTCACATCTTTTTTATTGTCTGTGAAAGCTCTCAAGCACTCACCTGTTGCTCCTGGGTTATAGGGAGTATCTTGTTGTCATTGAAAATCCAAGGATGTGGACTCTTGCTGGCAGGCTAGCTTGATAAGCAGCCTGTTCTCAGCAGTAAACTGACAGTTTAGGATGTTCACCTAAGTTTAATTCAATTCCTTAAAAAAGTTTGTGCATTGAGAAATTTTGCTCCCAAGGGGTAGGTAGATGTGGATTCTGGCCAAGCACATGTTGAAGATGGATCCAGTATTGAGGGACCAACCATACCATGTAGTCTTTCTCCCTACTCTGGTTCTAAACTTGTTTCTTCTTGAGGACCACTGTAACTCCACCAGTTGCTGGCAAGCCCATACTTGGTGAGCCATTGGTTCTTACAGAGTCAGCTTGAGTCATCAACATATCTCACCAATATTCTGTGCCTAAGAATAGCTTGTGGGTTTTCTTTGTAAACACAGAAGGAGCAGCAGGAACTATGCACAAAAGCCAAACTCAGACATGTTGCTCATTTATTGTGTTGCCAGAAATCCTAACTAGGGCCATCATTCTATGAGGGTCTTCTGAAAACTAGAATCTTAAACAGTAGGAAGTGAAATATTAGCACAACTTAGAAAAAATTATTAGTTAAAACTCATTAAATCTGATTACTTATTTTGTAGAATAGGACTCTTGGAAGAAAGAATTTAGAATACACTTTTTTCTTCTGAAAATTTTCAAATGTATCCCAACTGGTATAAGGAATTCCCATAAACCCAACAGTCATATTCAGTAATTATCAAGATTTGCGATATTTGTTACCTCTCTTTTTTCTTTTTGAAGTATTTAAAACAACTCCCAGATAATGTCATTTCATCTCCACATACTTTAATATGCATCTCAAACTGTGAACATTTTAGTGCAAAACCATAATGCTATTGGTGTTCAATAAAATTAATAGTAATTCTGTGATATCAGCAGTTACAAGTTGATGGAATATCCTGATTATCTTTAAATGTTTTTCCCTTTTTTATAGTCGGTTTGTATAAATTAGGGTCCAAAGTGTTTATATTATATTGACTTGTTCTGGCTTTTAAGTCTATAATTCTAGAGCAGTCCTTTCTTCTTTTTCCCACTCAGCAAGTAGCCTATAGACATTAGATTAGTTGTCCTATAGAGTATCCTACCTTCTGGATTTATCTGTTTGTTTTTTTTGTGATATCAAGTGACTTGTGTCTCTCTTCTCTGTGTTTCCTCTGAATAGAAAGTTGGCTCTGCAGACTTAATTAGATTAAATTTTAATTTATTAACAGAACACTTCCCAGGTGGAACAGAAAGATTTCTGAAGCTAGACAGAAGAATTGGGAAAGGCCTTGAAGGCTTGGTGCTGCCTCTTGGATGGCAGATCAAGCTTAAGAAATTCAGTGGTCAGGCAAGGGCTAGAATCCTCCACTGAGGAGAAGTATCTGAAGGGAGAAAAGGGTGACACTGGAGACAAGCCTCAGAGGACAGCTTTGCCTACTTTAGAATCATACCTAGGGCTAAGGGACTCAGAATTGAGAGGAGCCTTATTAAAAGTCACTCAGACCAAAGTTCTACTTGATGTCTGAACATCATTGTCACTCAATCTTCTATTTCTCTCTGAACCATTATACAGAGACGGAACTTACTACCCATGTAAAAATACAGACTTACCTAACAGTAAAAAGAACACGGAAGTCAGGGTTAAGACAGTCTTACACAACCACTTACTAGCTTTGGGCAAGTCATTTAACTTTTCATAGCCTCAGTTCCCTCTCTAATTGGCAAAACAGAGCTAATGATGCTTTTTGAAATCTGTCTTAAGGAGTTGTAAGTGTGAAAGGAGACGATTTCTAGGGGCTCTGTCAGTGTAACACGGTATACAGAAGTAAGAAGAGGACTTGGTATTGTCATCATTCTTCAACCCCTAGACTCTTATTTATCCAGTGAGAACTGATGTAGCAAATGTGCCTTAAGGACCTGCTGAGCTTTGGATGCTAGAGTATGAGGCATGAGGAGAGTAGATACAGTCCTTACCTTTGTGGAAAATACCTTAAAATCTGCTAAACTTGTACCTTATGTGATAAATGTGTAAAATGCTGTAATAAGGGCCTCAAGCTAAGCTATTGGCCCTAAAGATGGATGGAAAGGAAGAAACAGACTTGAGCAATATTTAAGAGACCAAATCGACATGACTTGTTAATAGATTTCATGCAGGGAATGAGAATGGGAAAGGATTTCAAGGACTGGATTTTACCATTGGTATAGTGACATGGTGTAGAGAAATAGAGAGTCAATGACTCAGTTTAAACACAGTTTAAGGTATCTGTGAGATAGCTAAGTGGTGGTGTCCAGGATAGTTAGCAATATAGTCTAAAGCTGAGGGTAATATCAAGGCTGGAAAACAAATATTTGTGAATCATCATATTTTGGATGCTGGTTAAAGCTATGGATATGGATGAAAAGGCCCAGAGACAGGATATAAAAAGCACAATGCTTCCAGAATTGGATATTCCGTGATTTGAGACACCAGTTGAGGCCTGTCACTTAGTGCCTACTCTGACAGTTACTCAGTCATCACTAAATTGTAAGGGAGGAGAGTTGAGCTTTAGATTATGACTTCCTGTTTAACACAGTCATGTGAACTTAAACTTGGTTTCACCATGCCATTAAAACCCATAATTAGTATGCTTAATGCTTCCCTTAATGCCAGTACTCAAAATGTAGAGCTTCTAAGAAAAATATTCCAACAAGTATGCAGTAGTGATTATAAAAATTGGTCTTATTGTCCATTCACTTGATGGCAGTGTACTCTTCACAAAATGTAATAGCTCAGAGAAATAATCATCCTGTGAGATGATCAGATTGTGAGGAAAAGTAGCCTTCCCATAAATGTTTCTGCAACAATAGTAAGCCACTGGGAAAAGGAAGTGAAGAGGGAAGTAGATGTGTTCAGTTTCTAGATTACAAATTTCTGGTGTATCCCATGGTGGTGTACATGTTCATGGCTTACACTGGAGGCTGCCAAGTTTTTGACACCTTGATTAGCCCATGTTACTCTCATCATAGCTCCAGAGACTGGGTGTTCCATCCTGAAAACAACCTCTTCTCAACTTATTACAACTGTTTATGATTTTTTTTTTTAAGAAAACGGGCAGAATATTTGAGAATTCTTTGGTGTTCCAAGCTTCTTGTCAGGTTTTTTCTGTTTTAGCAAACTCCTTTAAAAAAAAAAAAAGCAGACAGGCAGCCTAATGCTAATAGAAGAGAAGAAATAACTTACACTGTTTTCGACTCTCATTTTAATAATCAGATGAGTTAATTTAATAGTGACTAAACAGTAAAATTAGATGTATGTTTGGGCGTGTTTTGTGGTCTCCATGGTAACCTTAGATTTGAAGATCTTTGAGAAGAGAGAGATTACATTACTGCAGGGACACTTAGCTGGCTAATGCATTAATCCGACATGACATGGAGTTTTCAGTGAAATGACTCTCTTGAACTTGAAAAACATTTTTTTAAATAATTTTTGCCTCTGATATAAATGAACACAGCTCACTTTTGGACAGGCTTATGTCTGGGTGGCATCTGAGGTTGATCACTCAGTAGAACAGTATAATACAAGTGCAGTGGCAGAACAGCCTTCATACTCTTTTCAGCTTGTCTGCAGTGCACAGATTAGAAAGATGAAAGCACCTCCTTTGACTTACTGCTGAGCCATGATGCCACAGCCATCAGCTTAACAGGTCCCTATGCGGGCACAAGTTCAGTCTTATAAGGC